CAAGGAAAGACTTTAGATCGCCTTCCCACAAGAGAGAAATTGTCTCAATACATGTTGCAGGTTATCAAAGACACTCTATCAAACACATGAACAAATTACTGATGAGTAACTGTTCTTACATACTTTAAAAAAATTCCAATGTGTTATATAAACAAACTTGAAATATAAGCCATAAGATCTTTTAATATATACTTTCTCCCTCCCTTTTTTGTGTTCTGTTAAACTGAGGACCCAAATTATAGTCACCAGGTGTGATGACAGAAACAGCATATTCCCACATGCCTGTCATTTTATCTCATCTGCCAAGAAACTGAAAACCCAAGTCCATCCTCTGGAACAATGAGTGCTTGTCACTTAAATATCTCTAACGATTTCTTTGATTTAGGAAAAAAAGTTTTTGTCCCATTTTTAGTTGTTTTACACTGTAACGTGTATCAGGTGACAGTGTAGTTAAAATGTATGCAGCATAAATCTCAAATAAGTGATAATGGGGCTGGGGGGTTGACACAGCAGTTAAGTCACCACTTGAGATGCCCACATGCTATATTGGAGTGCCTGATTGGACTCCTGGCTTAAGATCCAGCTTCCTGGCTGGTGCAGTGGTTCACTTGGCTAATCCTCCGCCTGCGGTGCTGGCACCCTGGGTTCTAGTCCCGGTTGGGGTGCCGGATTCTGTCCTGGTTGCTCCTCTTCCAGTCCAGCTCTCTGCTGTGGCCGGGAAGGCAGTGGAGGATGGCCCAAGTGCTTGGGCCCTCTACCTGCATGGAAGACCAGGAGGAAGAACCTGGCTCCTGGCTCCTGGCTCCTGGCTTCGGATCGGTGCAGCACGCCGGCCTTAATGGTCATTTGTGGGGTGAACCAATGGAAAAGGAAAATCTTTCTCTCTGTCTTTCTCTCTCTGTCTAACTCTGCCTTTCCAAAAAAAAAAAAAAAAAAATCCAGCTTCCTGCTAATGCATACCCTGGGAGAATGCCACCCACATGGGAGACCCAGATTGAATCCCAGCCTTCTGGCTTTGGCCTGGCCCAGTTTTGGTTGTTGGAAGCATTTAGGGAGTGAATCAGTGGCTAGAAGATCTCTTTGTCTCTCTCTGCCTTTCAAATTAAAAAATGAAAATAGACAAACACAAGAATTTTTTAAATGGTAACACAGGGCAATAAAACTGCCCAAGAATAGTATTATTTTTTAGACAAAAGTTTGGATTGACAAGCTAAATAAATAAAACAAAACAAATAAGAGTTTCTATCAGCTTACAACAATTTTGTGGTTTAATTTTTTCATCTGTAAGGAGTGGAGCAGGCTTCTCTGAGAAGCAATGGACCAGGAGCCCAGCCTTTCTGTGCTCATAAACCACCTGCAACTTTAAGTGAAACATTTAACCTCTGAATAGTGCCCATAAAACGGAGAATAAAACCACCTTATCCGGATCAATTTGTTTATAGTTATTTTATTTCTTAAGATCTATGGCCCTTTCATCAGAGTCTTTAACTCAAACAATCATTTGGATGAGCTCAAATTCAAACCACAAAAATGTGTCTAAAAACATTTTTAACAGTCAAAGCTCCACGTGGATTTTGCACTGATGCTAGAGAGAAACTGAAGCAAATCAGTCTTTCTGTCAGACTCTCAAACAGTTGCTAATCTCAGTAAGTAACCCCTGTGCTTGCTGTAGTGGGGCATGAGGAAAGAGAGCAGGCTGCTACCAGACTGACATAGAAAGAAGACTGGTCACTGCTCTCACACCAAGGTTAATTTCCATGGAAGGCTCTTTCACATTCCTCCTTTGTGTATTTCCTAGGTCAGCATAAGTAGAACCCACACACTTTATTTGGACCTTCTCAATGTCTTGGGCTGAAATGCTCTGTCCTTACATGAGATTCTTACCCAATTTCTTAGCTCCTGGGGGCAGAACCTGTTTCTCACTCCTCCTTCTATTCTCCATGACACTCAGCTTGGTGTCTCACCTGACACAAGGGCATAGAAAAGATGGACCTGAACTGACCTGACTTTTTCATTATTCAGCTGATAATTTAGCTCTTGCTAAATATTTCTTCTAACTGACAGCCAAAGCACTGAGAGGATTTTTGTTTACAACTTAAAATAAGAATACTAAAAGTAGTGATTCCTAGCCCTTCTATGTCATGGAAGGACAGATGAGAAATACCAAATGTCCCTTAAAACAATGTAGGGGCAGGCATGGTGGTGCAGTGGGTTAAGCCACAACTTGGGAAGCCTGCATCCCATATCAGAGAGGTTGGGTTTGAGTTCTGCCTCCACTTCCCATCCAGTTTCGTCCTAATGTGCATCCCGGCATGCAGTTGATGATTCAGGTACATGGGTCCTGCTCCCCACAGGGGAGACCCAGATTGAGTTCCTTGTTCTGGCTTTGACCTGGCTGAGTATTGGCAGTTGAAAGCATTTGGGAAGTGAACCAGTGGGTGAAAGATCTCTCTCTCTCTCTCTCTCTTTCTCTCTCTCCCTCCCTCCCTCTATCTCTTTAAAATAAACAATTATAAACAATAAGTGAACTTTAAAAAATACTGTAAATTATGCTCCATTTCTCTGTTGTCTCCATCTCGTTTGGAGTTCATCTGCAAGTACACATCAGCAAGAGAAAGGCCGGCACTGCAAAGCTTCAGCTTCATTTTGCAAACTCAGAGTTTGAATATTCAGGTCAATTGTTCATTCATATTTGTAGTGTGGATTATTTTTTTGAGAACCACTTTTTAATAGCTTCGTTGTATTCTTAGAGCTTTGACTTGGGGATTTTTGATACACAGCTGAAGTATAAGGTGAAGGAGAATGGGAAAAGATGGAATTATCCTTACAAATAAGAAAAGTGGTGCACATAGAAGATATGCAATCTGCTCGGGATCTGTGCAGGGTGTCTGTGGGGAGGCACAGAACTCAGGAAACTCGACACAGAGAGGAAGGTCCCAGTAGCTAGTTTTTCCTGTGGCTTGTTACCTCATCAATAACCGAATGTCTGCCCATCTGCCATAGTATCTCCTTAAACTTTGACAAGAGATAATTATTTTGATGCCTCAGAGGAAAACTCCCTTGCTTTTCACAGGAACCACACTCAGTGAAATCAGTGAAATCCAGCGAGAAAGCCATGCGCTCTGGTTATGAAACACGAGAGCTCCCTCTACAGCAGTTCCCAGCAAAAGTGCCCTCCAGCTGCCCATCTGTTTCTGGGACCCACTGAAGTCAAGAAACCAAATAAAAACAAAAACAAACTGAAAGGAAGCTCCTTGGCTGCTTTCCCATGCTGGGATGGGAATGAGAAGGTGGCTACTCCATTTGCCAAGCAGAGAAGAGTGATGAAAGGTGAGTTATTGTGTAAGAGAATGTAGTACATGTAATAAGATTATTCCTTGTATTCTATATAATGTCTTTCAGTAATAGCAATGACCAGTTTAGCTCATTTCAAGTTATTCATAAGCATGAATTTTCTTTAAGGTGGGAAAGGAACAGCAGAAGGAATGTCATGGGGAGGAGAGAAAAATACTAGAGTTCAGCACCCAGCTGGCCTTCCCAGCACACCCCACAAGCACGTCCTACCGCATTCTTCTGGGCTGGCCAGATGAGGAGCGTCAAGGGCATCAAAGGAAGGAGAAATGAGGAGTTGCCTGAATTTGTGTTGATGGGTGCCTTACACAGAGTGAGGATGAAATGTAAGACTCAAAGGCTAAGGCAGATGAGGAATTATATTCCTGAGGAAGCCGTGCAGCCTGGGAGCTGTGCAATGTCATTGGCAGGTAGCCCATTACCTTTAAGAAAATGTGAAGTATGTGCCGTGCAGACAAAGGCGACGCACTGTAAACACAGCTCGATAACTCTCTCGCCTGGGAGAGAGAGGGGTTTGTGTTTACCTTTCAGAGACGCTGGGTCACCCTGTCTCACGCTGGAAGAAGGAAATGTCTCTCACACCCTAAAATCTTGAGTGCATACCACATACCACAAAACTGGAGGGTGGCCGGGAATGGGCACACGGTCGCTAAAAGGTGACTAATTCAGCAGAAGCATTTGTGCGGTGATGTGGGTGATGTGTTCTGATGGCCTCCAGCAGTTAACTTCTGTCCTTTTTCCAGGAGTCAGAGTTCACTCCTCTATTAAGAGATAGATATACTATCAGAATCAGACTCTTTTTTTAAGTCTTCAAATCAAAATTGAAAGATGGTTGCAAACTTTCTATCTGACCCCAATGTGCTCCCCAACTAAATCTTGACAACCTCAAGTGCTAACTGTCTAAAGCTGTTAATCAGAATGCCACAAAAAAATACCAGTTGGGCACGGATGGAGACAGAAATATGTCTGAGGTGGTGTAAGTTTCTGTGGTGTCCTTTTTAACTGAAAGAGAGTGCAAGAGAGAAAATAAACTAAGAATTGAAAATGAATGGGCGCCAGCACCGTGGCGTAGCAGGTAAAGCCTCTTCCGGGTCTCCCACATGGGCACAGGGGCCCAAGGACTTCGGCCATCCTCCACTGCTTTCCCAGGCCATAGCAGAGTGCTGGATCCGAAGAGGAGCAGCCGGGACTAGAGCTGGCACCCATATGGGATGCCGGCACTTCAGGCCAGGGCTTTAACCCGCTGCACCACAGCACTGGCCCCAGCTCTGACTTTCAAATAAATAAATAAATCTTAAAAAAAAAAAAAAAGGAAAATGAATGACAATTTGGTAGAAGCAGCACCAGTTCAATACTGTAAGATTTTTTTTTATAAAAAGATGGATGATTTCGAAAGATGAAAATATACAACTGCCCCCTAAAACTCCCTTGGATATGGCTAGGCTTGATCCAGTGAATATTTCTTCCTTAACAAAGTCATCACACAGTCTGCCACATACTGGGGTTACTGGTGCACATGTCTGTCTCTCCTGTTGGAGTGCAAGGACTTAAGCAGGAGCACACTTGGTCTACTTACTTTGTATATTCCACAGTGCTAAGGACAGTGCTTTTCACAGAGTAGAGCATTTTCTGAATTAAACCATAATCTGTTTCTGGGATGAATCAAACTAGCTCACAATGGCTGACAGCAAGAACACATGAACACCTGAGAAACTGGAGAAGACAGGAATGGGGGACAGCATGTATAAGGAATCTCTCACAAAAAGCCTGGTCTTGTCTCTGGGTGCTGTCACCAATGACCTCCTTGTTAGCACAAGGGTCCAATAGTTTGGATGATTTGTAGGAAGCTAAGCTGTGTTTCAGCTCAACTCCAGCCTGAGATTAGAGTTCTAGGGAGAGAACCAAGTGCATATAAATGGAATCCAAGTCTTGGAGGATGTCAGAGAGGAAATTTTCAAATCCTTTCCTGGACAACTCAAGCTGTTCAAGCTAGCACACAATAATTTTAGTCTTCTTAATAAACCTGCTTTCCCTGTTAAAACAAAACAAAACACCATGATCTTCAAGAAAGGAAAAAGAGCCTAACTGGGACAAGAATAAAGACAAAGCACCTGAAGGAGTTAGGAGCTGTTGGGAATAGATATGTTCTCTCTGGAAATCTAACTTCCAAACTAAGTCTTGAGAAAGAGAGCACTTCAGAGAGAACCCAAGTCCTCGAGGGAGGAGAGAGAAGAAATCTGGATGAAAACACAATCCCAAAAAGAAAATGGTGTCTGTTGATATATCATAGCATTATCCATCCATTTATACAATAGCTTTCTACCACCACCACTCTCGTCATAGGTGTGTGCACGCACGTGTGCACCCCCCCCACACACACACACTTACCTATGATGCATCGTAAACCATGTTCAAGGAGGCCCTTCAAGCCCATGGCGTCTGGCAAAGGGGGCAGCTGCAGGGCACGGGGGAGGAGCTATAGTGATGGTTGCAGACCACAGTGGTGGTGGAGACCACTTTGGAAAACCCCAAGAAGACAGGACATTGCCAGCAGATATCTAACTAGAGAGACATATCTTTAATTGATTAATATTTATCAATGAACAAAATACAGTCGTCAGTGCACAGGATTTTATTCAAAGCTAATCAGCTGAGACGCAGCCCTTCTCTGTCATAAAGGAAATCCGTGGGAACTACACCATCTCCAGGATTGGGCAAACGAGTGTCTCCACTAGCTATGGGGTTGATCTGGTCTCTTGGACAAAGCTTAGTTAAATCCACAAGGCCATCTGCCCACCTCACTGGCAGTGCCTTGGATGAGGCCTCATACACAGAAATAACCAGCTAACCATCTGTCAGACTGAAGTTTGAAAAGGAAATGAAGGAAGGAAAACAACAAAACAGAAACATAAGTAAAAGGAGGAAAAAAGACCATCAATTCAAGGAGTTACAGTTGGTTCATTGGTGTGGTGAGCTGAAGAAATTAAGAGACGACCACTATTGTCATATTTTTAAAAAGAACTATTATGAAGAAATGTTGAATAATTATCTTAACTCTCCAAAGAGCATAGAAACAAAGAAAATACACTTAAATTGCAAAAAGAGGAACTTCATTTAGACATAAAGAAGGCGTGTCAGTGAGGGAAATGTAACCTGTCCGTAGGGTGTGTATAGCATCCAGCCCTGCAGGTGTCTCGGGAGGCAATTACTGTGTTTCTTAGATTAGGTATAGACTTACCAAAGGCAAGAAGTTAAACCAGAGACCACTTCTACTCCCTTCTCGATCTCTGAGTCTATTCAATTTTCTGTGGCTTATCTTCTAAATGTGCTTGTAAGAACCTGCCCTCTTGCTAGCACCTTCTTGTAAATGTGATGTCTATCTGGGTTTATCCCAGCTAAATAAACTGAATTCAATAAAATCCATCCTGGGTTATCCTGTGGGAGAGTTATTACTCCACTAACATGCTACTGTTGCTACTGTTACCTAATGCTTTCACTTCTCCTTGAGGCTGGAATTACACTACGTTGTTGTATATCTAAGATAAGAGGCTGTCTGGAGTCTGTTCAGTGTTATCGCAGAACAGGCAGTGACTTTTTTATTGAAGGCACTACATGAGTACCACTGCACTGATGCAGGTTTTAGTGAAACTTATTCAGAGACTGTGTCTGTATCTGCACACCCACATGTGCATGCACGCACACACACACACACTCAAAGACCGTGCTACACTGGAAACAAAGGCATCTCACCTCCCATAATTAGCCGACAATCTGCAATAATCGGTCACATTGGTTTGTCCTGTGTTACATTAATGTAGCTGGAAGGTGAGAGAGAGAACACTACAGTGGAAGCTGGCTGTCTCTCTGTGCTGACCCAGCCTCTGCCCAATGTCCTGCCACTTCAGATTGTTAAGTATGCAGTAATTCCCAATCATGGGCGTCCCCAGATATCACAGGGTTAAAAATGGGAAGTCTGAAATTCACTGACTGTTTACAGCCCTTGTCTCTTGCATTGAGGAACAATGATTACTTTTTTTTCTTCATACTATTTGTTAAACTCTTTTATTTAGTGTAGGGTTAACTATACAATCTTTAAGTAAGCTGAAAATAGATATTTGTAAAAATTAAGAAGGAGAATGTGAGAGGGAGGAGGAAGAAGGGTTGGAGCTTAAGTGGGAGGGAAGGGGGATGGTTAAGGGAGAAGTATCACTGTGCTACTAAATTTGTATATATGAAACACATGAAATTTACATAACTTAAATAAAATTTAAAAAATGGGAACTTTTGTGAAATGGACACTATGGGAAACGGTGACTTGATCAGCATAGCCCTGTTAATGAACAACTTAATACATTATCCCTCTTAGTAGTTTTTTTGTCTGTTCTACTTAATATGACTGGTTTAATTCTGTAATTAATACACAGTTATTCTTAAGTGTTAAAAATTAACTGAAATGTGATCCCTGTTAAACATAAGAGTGGGAATAAGAGAGGAAAGAGATGTATAATTTGGGACATGCTCAAGCTGACTTGCCCCAAATGGTAGAGTTAAAAACATAACAGGGGATTCCAATTCAATCCCATCAAGGTGGCATGTACCAATGCCATCTCACTATTCCAAGTGATCAATTTCAGTTCACAATTGATCATAATGAAAGGACTAAGAGTCAAAGGGAGCACATAAACAAGTCTAGTACCTGCTAACACTAACCGATGGAATAAATAAAGGGGAGAGTGATCCAACATGGGAAGTGAGATACTCAGCAGACTCATAGAATGGCAGATGTCCTAAATAGCACTCTGGCCTCAGAATCAGCCCTAAAGGCATTCGGATCTGGCTGAAAAGCCCATGAGAGTATTTCAGGCATGGAAAGCCAAGACACTCTGGCAAAAGATCTCTGTGAGTGAGATCCCAGTGGAAAGAACAGGTCTTCAAAGAAGGAGGTACCTTTCTCTGAAGGGAGGAGAGAACCTCCACTTTGACTATGACCTTGTCTAAACAAGATAAGAGTCGGAGAACTCAGAGGGCTTCCATAGCATTGGAAACTCATGACTGGAGCATAGGGAGATTACTGATGCCATAGACAGGAGTGTCAATTGGTAAAGTCAACAACAGGAGTCACTGTGCACTTACTCCTTATGTAGGATCTCTGTCCTTAATGTGCTGTGCATTGAGATTTAATGCTATAACGAGTACCCAAACAATATATTTCACTTTGTGTTTCTATGGGGGTGCAAACTGTTGAAATCTTTACTTAATGTATACTAAACTGATCCTCTGTAAAAAAAAAAAAAAAAAAAAAGAAATTATCAACTCCCAACTTGACTCTCACTGGGATTAAACATGACAATAGGTCTGATCTGATTTCATCATCATTAAAAAAAACTCATCTATTATTTTTCACTTTATGTTTCTGTGTGGGAGCAAACTGTTGAAATCCTTACTTAATGTATACTAAGCTGATCTTCTGTATATTAAGATAATCGAAAATGAATCTTGATGTGAAAGGAAGGGGAGAGGGAGTAGGAAAGGGGAGGGTTGTGGGTGGGAGGGACGGTATAGGGGGAAGCCATTGTAATCCATAAATCGTACTTTGGAAATTTATATTCATTAAATTAAAAAAAATGGGAACTTTTGACAGAATATTAATGTATCAATTAGCTTAAGGAAATTTACATTTCCTACAAAAGCTGTGAGGGGCTAAATCTGCTTCTTTGGTTTTGTATTATGTGAACTCCTTGATTATCTCATACTGATCAGAAACTTTTACCAGTATCATACATGCCTTTGATGAATCAATTATTGGGGGGAAATTAAGTCTTCCTTAAAAACAGAAGTTTAATAGGGAAAAATGTTTCAAATCATAGAATCCAAAATAGGTTGAGTACTTCAAGCATGAAAGCAGCCTAAGATAAAGGAGAACCCTGACTGGAGACAAGGGTTCCGGCCCTGCTCTGCCAGTTACTAAGAGAAAACATACCCAGGCGACAACAGAAGATAGCTCCGCCCTAGCAACAGAAGACAGCCCAGCCATAGCAACTGAAGACAACCCAGCCATAGCAACAGGAGACAGCCCAGTCTTAGCAAAAGAGGATAGTCCAGCCCTAGCAACAGAAGAAAGCTCAGCCCCTGCAACAGAAGACAACTCACTCTTAGCAACAAAGCGCAACCCAGTCCTAGCAACGGAAGACAGACCAACCATAGCAACAGAAGACAACTCAGTCCTAGCAATAGAAGACAGCCCAGTCTTAGCAACAGAAGATAGTCCAGCCCTTGCAATAGATAACAGTCCAGCACCAGCAACAGGAGACAGCCCAAACCTAGCAACAGAAGATGGCCCAGCCATAGCAATAGGAGACAGCTCAGTCCTAGATAGAGCCCACTTCTGAAATCAGTAGAAAGCCTAGCCCTCGCAACAGAGGTTGCTAAACAGAAGGTAAATGGTTGTGGGATAGCCAAACCATTGAATACTATCCAGTGAACAAAAGGAACACACTATTCAAAATCAAACTTGGATAAATCTTAAGGGAATGACATTGAGTGAAAAAAGCCAATCTTAAAAGTCTATCTACTGTGTAATTCATTTATATAAATGTTCTTGAGTTGTTTAGAAGTGGCAAAATATATAACTTTCATGAATAACTAGACATTTAAATACTGAGATTTTGATAATGTTAAGAAATTATACTTTAGTTATGATGGCATCTTTATGTTTTAAGTTCTAATATTTGGAGGACACCTATTGAAATATTTGTGAATGAAATATGATGTCTGGGATTGCTCCAAAATAATATGGAGAGTGGATGGGAGGAGGGCATGATTAGCCAATGATACATGGTTGTTGGGGCTAGAAATGGGTTCATAGTGGTTGATTATACTATTCTGTCTACTTTTGTATGTGTTCAAAAGCCTCTACTCATACTACTACTATTATTTGTTGTTGTTGTTGTTATGAAAAGAACTTGAAAAAATTTGAAAAACTGAATGAAGATGTTAAAAATTTTAAGTAAATGTACACCATATAAATCTAATATTAAAAAGTTTGATCTAAATTCTAAAGTAATAATAACAAAGGACAAGAAGAAGGTGGGGGTAAGAAAGTTAAATTATATTAAATGATTATTGGTTTTAAGTAGAAGTAATACAAAATATATCTTTTTTTAAAAATGGCTTATTATTTATTTGAAAGGCAGAGTGAAAGAGAGCGAAAGAGAGAGAGAGAATCTTCCATCTGCTGGTTCATTCTCCAAATGGCTGCAACCACTGGCACTAGGCCAGTTTGATGCCAGGAGCCTGGAACTCCATCCAGGTCTCCCATGTGGGTAGCAGGAGTCCAACTATGTTGGCCATCCTCTGCTGCTTTCCCAGGTGCATTAGCAGGGAGACAGATTAGAGGCTGAGCAGCCAGGACTCAAACTGATGCTAATTTGGACACCATATTATAGGCAGTGTCTTCATTCACTGAGTCACAATACTGGCCCCAAAAGATATCTTTCAATTCTGATTCTGTCAAAATATATCACAGACCATAAACCAAAATAATGATAAATGGTATTGCTCTAGAATTAAAATCACAAAAAATGAATGCATTAATAGGTTTTCATATGAGATTTTAATCAAAAAACTTTAAAAAGATTACTCGTATTATTTAATAGACTTCAGTAGATGTTTTACAAAGGAGCATTTGTTATCTATTGTTGTATAGTAAATTACCTCAAAGTTAGTGGCTAAAGAAACCAAAATTTATTATCTCACAATCTCTGTTGGTCAGCTATCCAGACGTAGCTTGCCTAAATGGTTTTAGGTCAGTTTTCTACCAGGCTACAACCAACATGTTGGTAGAGGCTACAGTTATCTTGGCAGTGTAATTACTTCCAAATTCACTCACCTGGCTTTTGGTGGGCCTCAGAAGAGCTGTTTTCAAACTCACTCGTGTTTGCTTCTTCAGGAGCTAATTCACATCATAGCAGCTAGCTTCCCCCAGCCTGGGCAATCTGAGAGACAGCAAGAGGAAATGCACAAGATGGAAGCCACAGTCTTTTTATAACCTAGAGTTGGAAGCGACATCACTCTGCCATGTTCTATTCAGGAGAAATGAATCAGTGACTACAACCACATTTAAGGAACAAAGATGGCACAGAAGCAAGAATGCCAGGAGGGAAGGCCATCTTAGGGAGTGCCTATCACAGCAGACAACCTTTGAAATTCATTTTCTGAAATCAGTGATATTAAAGCCTGAAAAACCCCTACAAAATGCCCGACTGATATCATATGTGAATGTTAATGTAAAAATCCAAAATAAATAACTAGTCATCAGGATCCCTAACATATTAAAGAATAATAATACATCATGGCCAACTGAAGAGTATTCCAGAAATATAGGTAGGTTTTCATATTAGAAAGTATATCAGTTCCAAACCACCATATTGATACAATGAAGTTAAAATAAATTTTATTATCCTCATGTGTGCTAAAAAGCAGTTTCATATAATTTAGTACTCCTTGTTTAATGAAACTATGGAAATGGAAGTTTTACCAATTTGAGTAGGTTAGGGTTTCCTAATGGCAGTGGCTTGTACTACAGTAGAGACTTACTGATAAAACCTGCACTAGCACAGGGTAAATGTTGCTGATCAGCTGCAACTCTTTCCATACTGCAACTAAAGGACTCTCCATCTGTGCCTCTGCAATCCCTAGGATCTTGCCATTGCCAGCCAGCAGGCGGCAGAGTTAGGAGAGACTGTTGGGGAGGTTTTTATAGCTAAACTACAAATGGCCTCTGTGTCCAGAGCTATGCCGGTCCGAAGCCAGGTGCTTCCTCCTGGTCTCTCACACGGGTGCAGGAGCCCAAGCATTTGGGCCATCCTCCACTGCCCTTCCGGGCCAAAGCAGAGAGCTGGACTGGAAGAGGAGCAGCCAGGACTAGAACCGGCACCCATATAGGATGCTGGCGCTGCAGGTGGAGGATTAACCAAGTAGTTTTTATAGCTAACCTGAGAAGTCACATGCATCCTTTTGGCTTATAGTCCCTTGGAGAGAACTGAGCAACATGGCCTGACCTAATTGCAGAGAAGGCTGGGATATATAGTCTATGTTTCCAAGAAGGAAAGGGAAAATGCTTTTTGAGGCACAGTTGGTTATCCCTGTCAGAGAAGTCAATGTTTTTAATATGAAAAAATAAATCTACATCCACGTAAAAGCTAATGCCAATTTTATGGAACACAAAAACTATCCTCTTTCAAGTTTAGGGAAAAGAAAATAAGGTAGGCTTTCATCCCTTTTAAGGATGAATCTATCAAAAGAAACCCATGATATTAGAAAAAGAAAAATTAGAAAAGAAGAGGAAAATCATCTTATTTATGGGAGTTATGATTAATTACCTGAAGGGGAAAGATAAATCAACCATTTCAAACTATAATTCATAAGGTTAGTGTACATATAAAATTTGTGCAATCATTACTCTGCATGCACACAAATACAAGATGTATTTGAAGGAAAGACAACTAAATAGCAAATAAAAATAGATAGAAATAGAGAAAATAGATAGAAATAATCTTTACAAGAACAACAGTGATGTCATCAAAATAATAAAAAAGCTGATACAAAACTTCAAATGGAGAGGCAAGTGTTTGGTTTAGTGGCTAAGACTCCAATTAAGATGCCCACATTTGAGGCCAGCACTATAGTGCAGTAGGCTAAGCCTCTGCCTGTGGCGCTGGCATCCATATGAGCGTCGGTTCGAGTCCCAGCTGCTCCCCTTCCAATCTAGCTCTCTGCTTATGGTCTGGGAAAGCAGTGGAAGATGGCCCAAGTGCTTTGGTCCCTGCACCCACACAGGAGACCCGAAGAAGCTCCTGGCTTCAGATCTGCCCAGCTCTGCCTGTTTGTGGACCAGCACATGGAAGATCTTTCTCTCTGTCTGTAACTCTGCCTCAGATAAATAATAAAATCTTTAAAAAAAATTTTTGCTCACATTTTTTGTTGAACTCTTTACTCAGTGTAGGGTTAATTTTATAAGTATAAAGTAAACTGAAAGTAGAGCATTGTAAAAATTAAGAGAGGGAATAGGAGAGGAAAGAGGAGGAAGGTGGGAGCATGGGTGGGTAGGAGGGAGGGTAGGTGGAAGTATCACTATGTTACTAATTCTGTATATATGAAATACATGAAATCTGCTTCCCTTAAAAAAAGAAAGGAAGAAAAATAAAAAGATGCCCACATTCCATACCAGAGTGCTTGGGTCAGAGTCCAAGCTCCAATCCTGAATCCAGCTTCCTGCTAATTTGCACTCGGGGAGACAGTAAGCAATGATTCAAGTTCTCGGGTCCTTGCTAGACGTGTGGGAGACCTGCATAGAGTTCCTAGCTCCCAGCTGCAGCATCGCCTAGCTATGGGCATTGTGGGAATTTAGGGAGTTAGCAGGAAGATAGAAGTGCTCACTTTCTCTCTCTGCCTGCCAAATAAATAAAAATAAAAATATTTAAAAACCTGAAAAGCACAGACAGGACAATTCAGAGTTGAAAAAGAAGTTATACAGCAGGAGCAGTGTTTAAAAATATTAAAATAGCACCAATGGGGGACAGCGCTGTGGTGCAGTGGATAAAGCCTGCACCTGCAGTGCTGGCATCCCATATGGGCACCAGTTCGAGTCCCGGCTGCTCTACTTCTGATCCGGCTCTCTGCTATGGCCTGGGAAAGCAGTAGAAGATGGCACAAGTCCTTGGGCCCCTGCACCCACATGGGAGACCTGGAAGAAGCTCCTGGCTCCTGGCTTCGGATCAGCATAGCTCCAGCCATTGTGGCCAATTGGGGAGTGAACCAGCGGTTGGAAGACCTCTCTCTCTCTCTCTCTCTCTCTCTCTCTCTGTGAGTGTGTGTGTGTGTGTGTGTAACTCTGACTTTCAAATAAGCAAATCTTTTAAAAAATTGTTAAATCAACAACAGGAGTCACTATGCACTTGCTCCCCATGTAGGACCTCTGTCCTTAATGTGTTGTACCATGAGAATTAACGGTAAAACTAGTCTTCAAACAGTACTTTATACTTTGTGTGTCTGTGTGGGTGCAAACTGTTGAAATCTTTACTTAGTATAGAGTTGATATTCTGTATATAAAGATAATTAAAATGAATCTTAATGAAGAATGGGATGGGAGAGGGAGTAGGAAGTGGGATGGTTTGGGGGTGGGAGGGCAGGTTTGGGGGGAAGAACCACTATAATCCAACAGTACTTATGAAATTTATATTTATTAAATAAAAGCTTTCTATATAACAAAAAGAAAATCTCCTCTTCTTAAACTAAAGTAACACATTTATAGCTACCAGGGTTTAGGGTGTGGACATCTTTCAGAGCAGAGGTAGAAGGGAGTGACTTTATTCTGTCTACCCTAGCATGGTTGATTCATGTATAGACAGATGCAATATAATGAGGAACATCATAGAAATGGTACAGAATAGTAAGACTATAGTAAGACTACAATAAACATTATGAATTAATCTTTTTAAAAAGATGTATTTATTTATTTGAAAGTCAGAGTTTTAGTGTGAGAGGGAGAGACAGAGAGAGAGAAATATCATCCATCCGCTGGTTCACTCCCTAGATGGCCACAATGGCTAGGACTGGGCCAGACCAAAGCCAGGAGCCAGGAGCTTCTTCCAAGAACTCGAGATATCCTCCATTGGTTTTCCAAGTAGGGAGCTGGATTGGAAGTGGAGCAGCCAGGATACAAACTATGCCACAATGCTGACCCCATGAGTTAATCTTTTATAAATACCATTTCATATGAGTGAGAAAAGATTGCTTACTCGATACTTAACATTGAGATAACTAGATCAAAACCTGAGATTGATAATTAATTAATTGAATACTGTGGGGAGCAATTCGGACTAGACTAAGTTACTCGAATTAAGACTTATTCTATGCATCTGCTCTCCTCTGTGGGGAGCAGCTCGGACTAGACTAAGTTACTGGAATTAAGACTTATTCTATGCATCTGCTCTCCTACAATATGGCGCTGGGAGAGGAGAAAACAGCTTCTACCCAGCTGCCTCCAGTTCAACCAATAAACTGTAGGACTTGCTCCTGATTGGAGAGCAGCGTACTCGGCGTGTGGGCAGCCGAGTTAGGATTGGCGGAGGAGGACTATAAAGGAGGAGAGAGACGGCATGCACGGGGAACATCTATGGGGAACATCTAAGGGAACCCGTGCAGCCCCCAGAGAGCCGGCCGGCGGAGTGCCGCTCCCCTGCGGAAGTGGGGAATGCGGCCAGGGGGAACCGCCCTTCCACGGAGGTGGAAGGGACAATAGCCAACCCGGGAAGAACCAGCAGCAAACCCGGGGAGGGCCGAGCAGACGAAAGAACAGCGCAGGGTCCTGTGTCGTTCCTCCACGAAGAGGGGGAGCGACATAGTGGTGCCGTGACTCGGATAGGAAACCTGACTCGGATAGGAAACCTAGGACGGATAGAAAACTTAGGAGGGAAGAAACGTGACTCGGATAGGAAACCTAGCTCGGATAGGAAACCTAGGACGGATAGGAAACCTAGGAGGGAAGAAGCAGGAAAATACCGGAGAGAGAGACTAGCAAAGAGCCTAGGTGCCGGAAGAAGCTATTGAAAGCCTAGGCAGAGACTCGGATATGGACTGTGGGAAAGAAGTTAGGATTTAAAGTGAAAGCAAGAAGAAACTTAGATACGGACTGCAGGTTGAAAGTGAAAGTGAAACCTAGAGGAAACTTGGACTCGGATATGGACTGTGGGGAGAAGCCAGGAGAAATGAGGGAGGAATATTGTTGGAAGAAAACTTGGGGAAGCATGCCGGGTAGAGAAAAATGTTAGGGAGGATGAAGCCGCGAGTGCAGGCCAAGCCACCTTGGAATTCTTCAAGTCACCCCGGGGAGCAAGAGGCGAAGATCTGGAACCAGAGGCAGAGACGTGGGCCGCCAGGATTCGCCAGGTTAGTCCGGGGAACTTGGACTGAATGCCGGTGGTGGCGGAAACAT